TCTCCTTCCATTTTCTTCAATTCAAATTCTCACCATTTTCTTCAGTTCAAATTTTATTTGTCAAAATCAATTAAATCAACCACATGATTTTCTTAAAAATCAGTCTCCTTCCTCAATTTCAAGGGCAATTTCTATATAAGCTAGGTGATTCAAATTGGATAAGTTTCCATTTCTCTAGTTGATGTTCTCCTAAAGGTTGAGAAGAGCAGTGATCTCGAAGGCCCATATCTGTCAAAGTATATGATTTCAAATCTTAAAACTCTCTCAACGTATCAGATTCAAGGTAATGCAACTTATAATCTCACATTTTATTGTGCCTGGTAATTGCATAAAATATGAGGATACTAAAATCTCACATCTAATTACAATATAATAAGGCCGGATAGGGATTGTATGACATAAAGTTAGGTATTTTATTTTTAATCTCATGCTTATTTCTAATTTATTAATTTAATTGAATCAGACAATTTATATTTCTAAACATCTCATATGATCTCAGTTACTAATGAAGGCTAAATTTCCAAATAATTGGTTTGAATGATACTTTATAAATTTTCATAAGTTGCTGAAATAGGCTTTACTTTTTAGCTATAAAACTAAAATTGAGTTATGAAATTATGCACTCCCATTTCTATATACACAGAATTATTCATCACTTTGCAGAGAATAAAACTATATCTAAATCTGGATTATGCTACTGTATTTGCTACTGAAAGAATATGGAATTGTGGAACTATAGTTATGGAACTAAATCTGGAATTTTGTTAGTGTATATATATATAGAGAGAGAGAGAGAAAGAGCACCTGAAAGAATCGCCCTTGACGAAATCGATACATAGAATGTATGACCTACCGACGCTTCGTTCCGTTTTGCTAACGCTCGGCTAAAAGTCTTGAACCTTAGCGCGTTCGCTTTCTCAGTAGCAAACAACAGAAATTTCCAGAGAAGAAGCGTCGATCTGTGGTTGCGAAGAACTCTAGGGTTTCAGATTCGGGTCACACTCCATTTAACAGAGAGACGATTGAGCTGAAAACCAAGTACGGGAGGATTGATCGATCTGTAGCCTAGCAACGAAGGTGTAACGAAAATGAAGAACAATCGGCTTCAGAAATCGCTTCCAAAGGAGTTGCGCGATGAGAGAGAAAATGATGATGAAGAACAATCTAGGGTTTCAGATTCGGGGTCACACAAATACATAATAGAGAGACGATTGAGCTGAAAACCAAGTATGGGAGGATTGATTGATCTGTAGCCTAGGAACGAAGGTGTGACGAAAACGAAGAACAATCGCCCATGAAATCGCCTCCAAAGGAGCTGCGCGATGAGAGAGAAAATGACAATGAAAAATGGCTCGGTTCTGATATGCGATTTTTTATACTTGATATCACCGCTACAGTTAAATGAGGATTAATATGGTTTTGGTTTGGGTTGGTATTTCCGCTACAGTAAACCATATCACCCAATATCACCAATTCTTTGATATGGGTTTTGGCCCAAATTTTATAATGTTTTTACACTGTTCAATACCACATTAACCCACTCCAAACATGATATTGGCCCAAAAATGAAACCAAAACATGAAAACAATAACAGTTATGGGCCTCCAAACAGGCCCTTAGGATATCAAATATTAAATGCTTTAGTACTTGTAGGCGCACTTATGTATAGGCTTGAAGGTGAGCGACCACAATGTGCATGTGATAGAGGTCCTATGCATCTGTATAGGGCTCGAACTCCAAAAAATGATGGTCAACAATTCTATAGGTGTCCAGCTCGGGAGGTATGGTCATTTACTTTTAGGTGCTATTTCTGTTACTGTTTCCTAATTGTATAATTTATATTTCTTGTAGTCACATATGAATGCATTTATGTGGGTGGATGAGTTGCACCAAGGTGCACAAGTTGAAGAACAGGTTCAATCTGACTTGGACAGAGTCATTGCAATGATTCAAAATGAGCAATGTAGACAGAAATACATGCTCTTCCTAGGTTGTGGATGTCTTGCTATCACAATCATGTTTATTGTGATTGTCCTCTTGTTGCTCATTATCGTTGTTATTGAAAGATGAAGTTAGATAAACTTCCATCTTTTGTAATATATGACATGTAATACGTATTTAGTTAATTTCCTGTGTTTCATTTGGTATGTAATATATACTTAAATGGTATATTTTGAACTGCGTATTTGTTGCTGTTGTGTTATCTTCTCTGTCATTTTGGGAGTGAGCTTTAGGGTATTTGTAAAATTTGCTACTGAGGTCATTTACACTCTATTTGCAACATTAGAGAAAAAAAAAAAGGTTAGATATATCTTGTTTACTACTTCTAATTATTTCATTCCTACCGTGTGTTATTTTGTTTTTCTCTAATGTTGTTCATGTCTTTTGTTTTGCATGAGGTCATTTACACTTTAAATTTACAACTAAGCTTGAAAAAAGGTTAGATATATCTTATTTACTACTTCTAATTATTTCATTCCTACCGTGTGTTATTTTGTTTTTCTCTAATGTTATTCAAGTCTTTTGTTTTGCATGAAGTCATTTACACTTTAAATTTACAACTAAGCCTGAAAAAAGGTTAGATATATCTTATTTACTACTTCTAATTATTTCATTCCTACCGCGTGTTATTTTGTTTTTCTCTAATGTTATTCATGTGTTTAGTTTTGCATGAGGTCATTTACACTTTAAATTTACAACTAAGCCTGAAAAAAGGTTAGATATATCTTGTTTACTACTTCTAATTATTTCATTCCTACCGTGTGTTATTTTGTTCTTATCTAATGTTGTTCATGTGTTTTGTTTTGCATGAGGTCATTTACACTCCAAATTTGCAGCTTAGCCTGAAAAAAGGTTAGATATATCTTGTTTACTATTTCTAATTATTTCATTCCTACCGTGTGTTATTTTGTTTTTCTCTAATGTTCTTCATGTGTTTTGTTTTGCATGAGGTCATTTACACTCCAAATTTGTAGCTTAGCCTGAAAGAAGGTTAGATATATCTTGCTTGAATTAAATTTGTGGACGGTGTCCCTTGTTAATTGAATTTTGTGGGCGGTGTCCCTTGTTAAAATAATTTTGTGGGCGGTGTCCCTTGTTAAATGAATTTTGTGGGCGGTGTCCCTTATTGAATTAATTTTGTGGGCGGTGTTCCTTGGGTTTATTGTGTTTTGAAATTTTGGAAATGTCCATTTTTAAGGGGAAGTCATGCCGGATTTTTTTAAAAAAAATAATAAAAATTGAATTTAACTCTGCTTTATATTTTGCTACTATAGGTAATGTCTTGTTTTACATTCAAATTCATTTTTTGCTACTACATTGAAGGACATGGCAGTAAGTTGTAGGCAGTGGCACCAATGGGATTGATAGGAAGCATTCTCCAGTTGTTGCAACTCCAGAAAGCTAGTGATCTCTAAGTTAATCAAATGGAGGCCTATGCAGGTATAAAAAAATGGGTGTACATTTTATGGAATGAATATTAGTGATCTCCAGTTATGTGTACATTTTATGTAAGTGTAATGAAGTGTGTGTGTACGCACATACTATTTTAAAGGAATGTCTAGCTCCTTATATATGGAAGTATATATGTGAATGGTGCAACACTCAAGTTCTTAAGATTGTGATGTATAAAGCAAAACTATACAATTATTATATATGTGAATGTTGTTCAGTCTTGTAAGAGGGATCTTCTTTGATTGCTTGCTTTTAATCTTTATTCATATTTATCAATTCTGCTTATGGTTGGATATTGTATGAAATATTCACAAGTCCGTTATCAAAATAAATACTCAACAAAAGGGGAAATGGTCTTATGACTAAACAAAAAAAAATATTACCAATTTGAAGGACCTCCACTACAAAATTTCAAACTAATCTAAGTGAAGTAGAACTATTCACAAGCTTCAATGTTCACCAAATTTCAACTCTGACCAATTCAAGACGATTAACGTTTTGGCTTTGTTTCTTGTTTGTTTCAACTACAAGGATCTCTCTCTCTCTTACATTCATCATGAATATATATATATATATATATATATATATATATATATATATGAAACAAAACAAAGTTAAATGGAATGCAAGCCAAAAGAAAAAGATAAATGGAGTGCAAAGATCTACTCTCATTGAAAGATTATTACAAAGTTAGATTTGTAATTTGGTTGCCATTAATCATGTTTATGCAGATTTATTCATTATTACAAAGTAGTTTGGTTGCCATTATACATGTAAATTTAACAAAAAAAAAATTTCCCAACTCTAATGCAGAAATTTTTTTTTTTTTTTCCACAAATTATCTCAAATCATAAAGAAAAATGAACTATTTTACATATAAACTTATAATTGTATTCATATATATAATTTTTCAAAACAAAACAAAACAGTCTTTACCAAACAGGTATTCTGTTATTGATTCAGAATTTTTAATAACAAAACACTATTCCCAAACGTGTTTTGTTTTCGGATTCCTTAAAACGCATGACAATACCAAACGCGTTATCATGTTTCTGATATACAATTATCAAAAACAAAACAATTGTTACCAAACATGGATCCAATTTCTACTAAAAACATACCAATACCAATACCAAAACGGTTGTTTTCATATCATACCAAATCATAACATATAACGTTATCGCCATCCAAACGGACCCTTAATGTATTATTGACTCTAGAAAAATCACATTAAATACTAATTGTGTAAACACCATAGGTTTATTTCAATATTTTGCAATCCTTTACTTTTATTTGTATTGTGTCATGTTTTATTTTGATAATCTTCATTAGCTTCAACGAATAAATTCCGACTTTGTTTTTCATAATACTACAAAAGTTCCATTAAACTCCGGGCATTTTATGCAAAACATTATTCCTACTCTCATTCTTTGTGTTGATTTCGCAAGGAGAGTGAAGTGTCGAGACCAAGTCCAAAAAGCCAGACACCACTTTTCTCCTGGTTCATAAAGTTACCGAATCCATTTGTTGTCCCAATGCCAAACTTCATTATCATCAGAACCCATGTTGTTTGAAAATCGTTTTGTGTTTCACAATTTAGACACTCATCAAACAAATATTTTAACTAATAATTGCATACAAGGTCCCAAATTTTTGAGTGGCAATTTTCAAAATATGCCAAACAAAAAAGAAGGCATTCTTAAATTCATTTGCCATTGATTGACATTGATCAGTAAGCATCGCTTTCGTCCTTTATTCTCCATTGCCTCTAAAAATGCCTCAAACAACCAAACAAATCAATCTGTAACCTCATTTATGATAAATGCACAACCAAATAAAATAGTCATCATAGATTCTCCTATGATGATTTACTCATAGGAATGTAGCAAAGATCAAATCATACCAATTTATTCGTGGCATAAAAAACATTGTCATCCCCAGAACAATCGTAGTAAAAAATTGGCAAACGACTTTCTACATCAAATTCCTCAATGTGAAAGAATATACAATCTTCAAATTGACAATGTTTAAAGAGATTCATTATGCTTTGCAAATCTCCTCTGGAAGATTTGTGGTGGTGTTCCGTTGACGGATGATAGTTTTGGTAGGATTAGAATATTGAATCGTGAGATTGAGTAGAGAGGGAGGGAAAAAAAAAAAGGACGTGAATTTTTGTCTAGGTTTTCTTTTCTTTTATTTATTTCTATTTTTTTTTTTTTTTAATATAAAGAGAATGGAGAATGACCTGGGTTTCCAAAACAAAAGGCAAAAGGACGGGGATTTGGGCGGGGACTACGAAATTTTTCACACAGAGCTAACTTTTTGGTCAGTTAGCTTCCTGCCTTCTAGAGGTTGCTGCTGACATGGAAATTTAATTAGATGTCATGTTTTAATTGGATGGTGTACCACCTACGCATGATGACCGGCTACGCTTAGGGTACTAAATAATTTCTCTCAAGTACCATACCCTTTTTTTGTTCAAAGGAAGCACAAAAATATAAATTGACAAAAACCATGAAATCAACTAATTTTTACTCAATCACATGAAAATGAGAGTAAAACTGACCTCTCAGTATTCAGTAGTTTAATTTTTACCAAGTGAATTTGGAAAGATGTAATATATAATCTACGTTATCCTGTACCAGTAAGTGGGGAAATCTATGAGTAGTTAGATATTTAACATGGAGATGTCACCGAGCACTCAGCAGCCTCATTTCTTCTCCTCTTGACCGATCCTAAAGAAAAGGAAAAAAGCAGAAGGATATGTTAATCACTCAAACACAAGTATATCAATTGATTCTCAATAACCTACATACAGTATAGAAGGTTTATACCTCAAGAGGATCTTTGCCACCAAAATAATTTTTGATAAGTTCAAGGGCAGGCATATTTGGCATAGGCATCAATTTCCCAATTATCGCAACAGGCAAACTGGTTCAAGTGGAAAAAAAAAATGCTACTCAATTACGATCAACACTGTTGGAATGTTTATTTTAAAAGTAAAAGTGCAATATTATTATTTTGGTTGAGAGTAGCAGTAGAACAAAAGCTGATATCTGCAATACCTTTGCAATGTATTCACTTATCTATATCCCTATTGCAGTCCAAATTAGAAAATTAAACATGAGCAATATTAATACATCCCAAGTATGGATACGTGAATCCAGAAAGAAACAAGGGGTAGGGGGGTGTTATCTAGAATTTGTATGCAGCATGCACTAAGTACACATCTCAGATGACTAGAAGAATGTCAATAAATAACTTTAACATATCAAAATTACCAGTAACAACTAACCTGCAAAGGCCAATTGCAAAGGAAATAACCCACTGTTCCCTGCTAAGCCGAACTGTTGAGGTAAATTTTCCAAGGAACATAATAATGACCTGATAAATAAAGACAAGAAGATATGTTAAACCATGCAAGTAAGAGAGAGAGAGAGAGAGAGAGAGACCTGAATTACAAGAGTTAGGCCCACTATGGCCATGAAGAGATGGTTTCTAGTGACTCCGTTGAATATATTTACTAGATTAGGCTTCCGAGCATTAAGTGCATTGAAAATCTGCAAAATCAATTGTTAGAAAGTTCTCCAGCAGAAGAAGGGGGAAAATTTTGTGATATAGCATATCCCAGGAAATTCTATCAAGAACTTCATGTTTAAATATAGAAGTTTCAGAACACCTGAGCCCAATTAAATTTTACCGACAAGACATTCACAGTGTGACAGACTCATAATAAGCTTTCATTAATTGACCATGGCATCTGCTCCCAGAGAGCTTTTATATCTCAGGCTTGACTCAGTGGACATGAAACGAATAGATTGCTGGCTAATTTTTAAATAAACTAGCTTTTTATGGGACATCCATCATTGTAATAAGAACTTTGATGCAGTGACCCTTTAGTATCTGAAAAAGAGATAAGCTACATGTAACTCATGGGAGCTCGATTTGCTTACAGTGCCAGAATGGGTAAAGCATCACTCATTAAAAAAATAAAAAAATAAAAATAAAATAAAAATAAAAATAAAAATAAAAAGACTCAGATCAAACATTGATAGCTCAACTGGAGCCCAAATGATGGAACAATCCATATAAGATTTTGAACAGAACCAGAAGGCAGGATATTCCAAAATTTATGCAGCACTGAATACCAATAAATGACTAGTAAACTAGTCATTTTCGATTTTCATTTCTTTTTATTCAGGTCAATAAACTTACCTGACAAAGGACAAAAGCATTGAATATCAGTGTATTCTTCACTTTGGTGGCATGCACACTGTCATCATGCTCTAAATTTAGGAGGCTTTTACCTCCAAAGTAGACGATAAGTAAGACAATCGCTTGATACAAAGCCTGTAATAACTCAACCACCACCAATTTAGTCAACCATAAAGAATAATGTAACCAAAAACATCTAATTTTTGCTTCCTCTAATTATGAAATTTCTATAGCAATGAATAGTTATTATAAAGCACTGGGCCCTTGGCCAAGGTGGCATGACCACCACCTCCCTAAAGGGAGGGGAATGAGAATTGCCATAGATTTAAAGGAAACATAGATGTTCCTTCTTTATACACTTTTCAAAATTAGAGATTACACATTATTTGCTAATGTTGGATTGGAAACAGAGAATACCTGTATTAGTAAGTTCCACCACATGATATTTGTTATCAGAGGTTCCCTGAGAAAGATCAAAAAGCAAAGTGATCAGTGTAGTCAACCAGTGAACAAATGGGCATGTCAAATAAAACATCAAAAAATTAAAAGTAAAAATTGGACAGCAGGAGAAAGTTTCAATTAAAATTTGGCCAAAAAAAATACAGATGACAAAAGTTCTAAAAAATTCAAATATGCAAAAAAATAATAATAATAAAAAATTAATTAATTAATTAAGTGCAGCAGTTCTAGAATATGTGCCAATCTTATTCTAAAATGTGTACAGATAATGCGGAGAAGAAAACATACAGACTTGCTAAGTAAAGAGAAATCTTGAGTTTAGAATATTAAGAGTGTCATGGGAATGATCCAAGGATCTTGATGAAAATTTATTAAAATAGATAGATGTGGAAAAATTACTTTAAGTTGTTAAATGAAAATTATATAGAAGTTTTATAAATGAAAATTAAATAAGAAATTTATGCTTAGAAGAAAAGAAAAAAATTATCTCAAGGATCCTCCATGTCATGCATCAATGATCTCTGGTCGACCAAAGCACTGCCCATACACATGTAACCGGTTACGAAGCCCCTTTTAACCGTTTACATCTGAAGGAAGCAAATGTACTTAAACAACATTATAATTTTAATTTATTAATTATTGGTACCGTAATTTTTTCTTTTTTTATTTCACTTGTTGCTACTGCAGGTTATTATCTCCGGAAGAGAAAAAAAATAAAAATAAAAAATTATTTTTTCATAAAATCAGGATGTGCTAGGTAAAAAGAAAGAAAATAAAAAGAGCTTTAAAATCATCCTTTTTATAGGATGATTGTGTGCCTTGGACAACAAAATTGTTTAATAATATCATAATAACAAATAAAGAAAGTCTAATAAGTGTGTAAAAAAAAATCCAGTACAAATATATAAAACAATTAAAGGAATATTCATTATCGAAGAAATTATAGCACTATAAAATTGATACATTAGACTATGAGACTTTAAGAGAGCAGTTGAGAAATGATTAGATTTTGAAAGCAAATCAATTAGGAATTATTCTAGGGAAGAACACGGCATCAATTTATTAACTTACTGAAGAGAGCGGTTCAGCAATGACTCAAATGTCATAAATTATACCACTAATAAAATAATACATTATACTATGAGAATTTAATAGACCGGTCAGCGAGCAATGACTAAAACTATCTATTTTCACCTCCTTTTCATATACTTCTGCAAGCATGAGATTGAGACTCGAACTATGTAACATAGTGGCAAAAGTCTGTTGGGTGCATGTATTATAAAAAACTAAACTAAAATAAAATAAAAAATAAAAAAGGGCAAAATGTTTCACATGTCGATAACAACATATATTCCAGCAATTTCCACAATCTAAAGATGTCTTCTAACCTTCGACCGACTACAGGCCCGTGTAACAGGTGATCCGTTGGTGGTTCAGTGGCCAGCGCTAGTGCTCCAATAGTATCCATAATAAGATTAACCCAAAGAAGCGGACAAAAAGAAAAGGACAAACTAAGGCAACGACCTAGCCATACATGCACACAGTCACACACACACACACACATACAAGGAGAGAGAGGGAGAGAGAGAGAGAGAGAGAGGATACCTGCACCGCATTTAATGGGACATCACCAGAGGAAACAGCAGCCACAACAATAATTATTAGAGCAGAAATATTAACTGTGAGCTGAAACTGAATGAACTTTTGAATATTCGCATAAACAGATCGGCCCCATCGGACAACCTGCATTTGACAGACAGAATCACTTATTGACATTCCTAACTTCTGATTATTTAATTTTTAGCCTCCAACTTATTCAAATAGATTGAGACACTAGAAAACAACATATAGAGAGAAAAATAATACTAATAATAATAATAATAATAATAATAATAATAAAAAATGGCCCAGACAAGCAATATCCTGGGTCTAAATTCCACTCATGTGCATGTCAGTAAGAAGAACAAAGAAAAAGGTTGAAGGATAATGTCTAGGAGGTTGAAGGATAATTTCTAGGATCTGAACCACCAACCTTCCATAAATATCACATCTCTAAAGGATCAATGCTACAAAATATGAAATAAAATAATTCTTTAAAGATATTTCTTCTACCGACTGACCATAATGCTTAGAGACAACTTGAATAGATATATGGGTGCAATTAAGTTTCAGTAGGTCCTAGTATTGATCCTTGAGTGGTACTGTATGCCTTTGTGCTAGTGAAAAGAAAAAAGAAAAAGGTTACCTTGTTTATGTCCAACAGGGTAGAAATCACTACCTCGTTGATGCTATTGTTGGAAACTCTCGTTCAAGAGGCAAAACTTGGGTTTGTTCCCCTTTCAAGAAAAGATAAAGAGGCATACCAAATGCTTCTCACATGAACAAGATTCATCAAAGTGATCCCTACCAATCTAATTACATCATACTAACCTTTACAACAGAACCAAAGTTGTCATCCAATATAATGACGTCTGAACTCTCCTTGGCTACTTCCGCTCCGTGGATACCCATGGCAAGGCCAATATCAGCCTAAACTCCAAAACAGTTGCAACCCAATTTATGTGAATATATCAGAAATAAAGTAAATAGATTTTTGAAATACAGATGAAACTAATAAGCAGAAAAAAAATTACCAGAACACCCTGACCAGGTGTTGCACATTTGTAAAGCCTGTAAAGACTCACCATTTATGTGTTCCATAGAATTTTTTTATTTTTTATTTTTTATCAAAGCAAACAATGTTCCATAGGAAATTTATTAAAGAAACCTTGGGTGAAAAGTGGAAACTTTTTGAAAGACATCCAAAATGAGGAGAGGATAATGGGGTACAATTTAACAATTCTTATGGCTGACAAACAAGAAAAGGAGTTCCCTAAGCTGTAGTAGTTGAACATATAAGTTTTAATGTTTCAAATTGGATGAGTAATATTGTTTGCAAGATTAGTGAAAATGTAAATGGAACACATAAACAATGAAACCTGCATTTAAAAAAATATACCTCATCTAATTGCACATATCAGATTTACAGACTTCTACCATCATCCAACAAGTCCATAATGATCCTATCATACCTCATGTAGTGCATCAGCATCATTAGTGTCATCACCAGTTACAGCAACAACATGTCCCTTTTCCCTCAATGCTTGCACAAGCAAGAGCTTGTCGTTAGGAGAAGACCTTCCCATTACCTATGCATCAAATGACAATTATTTATTTCTTTAATTATTATTATTATTATTTGTTTTCTGGACACATTTCACTTCAGCTTCAAGTCAATGGCACACAGATAATAGTTTACAGATATTGCAGTACAAATTGAGGTTCTACCAATATTTTCTCAGCAATATCTCGTCTTCGCACTTCTGACAAGGCACGAAACGCCACCCCTTCAATGAGATTTTCCTCAGAAGCATCTGCATCTGACCTGAGTATCCCGCATTCTAGAGCAAATGCTCTAGCTGTCTGAAGATTGTCACCAGTGACCATCCATACCGTACATGGAAATTTTTTCCAACCAACTGTATTAGATGATAAAATAAAAAATACTATTATTACATATTGCATATATCACCAAATTCAATAACTTATTTAATATGAGCATGCTAAAAACTTGAAGAAACCTCCAACGCCAATAAATAAATAAGAATACATTTCTAGTCATCAAAGATATGTGATGAAAATCAACATATGGTGCCCAAGAAAGCATCTACTCAAATGCTTGAGAACAACATGTTCAGGTAATTGAAAAAGCATCAAAACCTCAATGAGTTAGAAGTCCTCTTATCAAAAGTTTAATTGCCTAGTGCTGTCAGTAACTTTCTGGCTCCGTTTGGTTAGATGGAAATAAGCAAGAAAAGAAAAGATATAGAATATGAATGAAAAGTGAAGTGAATGAAAAGTGAAAGAGATTTTCTAGCATGTATTTGGTTAGCATGAAAAATTTATCAAGAAAATTGTAAAAAAATATTAGTTTGTTGGTTTGGATAACATGAAAGTGAAAAGAAAGTAATTATACATACCAAAACCTTTTGAGAGAAAAATCAAATATTTCACCATATAACTATATATATATATACACACACACACACACATACATATCCATACCCATACAGAAATGACTTGCATTCATATACCAAATTAAAAGTTCAATATGGTCTTTCAATAAAACATTCATGGAACAAAGTTTTTCCATCAAAATTTAAATAGTAGTAGATCTACTTCTATTGTATATTCGCTTATATAGAGAGGGAGAGGTATATGAGTGTGTATATATATATAGATATATTAGTGATCTACACGTACAGGTGGATGCTCTTTACAGATTGAAAGGGAAAAGCACAAACAGACAACACATAGTATGATATTGGATATTGTGTATATATTTGGAACGAAAAAATCGTTAAAATAGCGTCCATAATTATCAAAAATTCTGAAACTGTAGATATAATAAATTCTGAAACTGTAGATATAATAGTGATCTAAGACTATTAAACTCGTTATTTTAAGTATGATTTGGGATTATGAGTGGCTAGAATTGCAATATAGAACAGACAATTAAAAAAAAAAAATCTATTTAGAAGGAGCAATTTTACACAAATTATCATTGATATTCTTATTAAATGTATAATTTGCGTTGCCAGATAAATGTTGAGAGAGAACTTACCTTTGGAGAGAACTTTGCAACGATTAAGTTATGGGTAAAATTGGAACGGCAAATAAATAAGGGATTCTTTCACGCGAAAATAAAATTTTCGCATGTTTTTTGAGGGAAAAATTTTGGGAGAAAAAATTTAAAAAGGGAAACTAAATTTTCCATTACGATTCTCTTTCTATCTATCCAAACTTTTTAAAAAAAATTCAAAACTTTCTCTTTCCTTTCTTTTCTAGCTATTTCTACCTAACCAAACAAAGCCTTTGAGAAATGGTAAAATTTACTTGGTTATAGAGAAACAATAATACTAAATTCAATCTTGAAGACTAAAAAAAAAATGTCTACCTGTGGGTAACAGGGTTCTGTTGCGGAACATCCCTAGGAAAACTTGGAAGATGTATTAGAGTGAAAACCAAAGCGACCTTAGGGGAAAAGAGAGATGAGGTAGAGAACTGGGAGAAGTTTGTGGACACTTCCTCCCTTTTAGTGATGTTTAATAAACCCATTACCAAATGCACGCTGGTTAGTTGACTGGGTCAATGAGAAATTGGTTAAGCAATTAACTAGATGAACCTCACAACTTATGCTCAGGCTGATTGGGTAAAGAAGAAACTAGTCAAGATTTGATCCGTGGCTGATAGCCTTGCAATTAACATCCAAATAATGGATTGGGATCTGGCACTACAACACAAAAATACTGGCATGAGGCATCGCAGGTGAGCGTATTGAGGATGCCTTATAATTATTTTTTTCATTTGCTTATTTTGTTCACTCAAAGTTTCTAATTTTATACATTAAAACACACTCATTCCTTCAAAGGTACCTTGAATAAGGTCATCTTCAACTCAAAACTCTCATTTTTCACTCACAATTTCTAACTTTTTACATCAAAAGTTCAAAACACTCTCGTGACTTAAAAGGTACCTTGAATAAGGTTATTTTTAGCACAAAACTATCATTTTCACTCACATCTTCTCTTGTTCTTTGGATTGAGACTTGTTGATCTTCGCCTAAACTACAAGATCAAGGGAAGTTCAAGAAGGTATTACAAATACTTTTAGCAAAGTTATGTAAGTAGTTTCTGCCTGTCCATTCTCTCGAAGATAATAATAGGGTGTAGAGCTATAATGAGTAATTTTTTAAGATGCAAGAAGTTTACCTGGCAAGTCTGGTCAAGAAAGGGTATGATGGGTATCGTTATGAGAGAGAATCACCCTTGAGATACAAGAAAGACAAAATAATAATATATATATATATATATATATATATATATATATATATATATTATATTTTCAGACACAAAATGAGAAAATGTTGACCCAGCTGCTCATCTCAAAGTTGATAACCCAGACATTACCTTTCACAGCTGATGAGCTTGAGCCAGTAAGATGCAACGTCCAAAAGTAAGACGGTTTACCATAGAGAGAGCACATAAGGCTACCATGGAGACATAGGCAAGGTTGTCATGGAGTTGACAGGCGGGGCATTTCTTGCAAGGTTAATACCATTCAAGGTGAAGAAAGTTGTTCACAGAGTTTATTCCCTCAGTTTTGAGTGACGCATTGAGGACCACCTAAATTCAGTACCAAAAAAAAAGTAAATGGCTTGTCGATTAATCCTCTACGGAGGACATGTCCTAGTGAAGAAAGAGTCAGGGAACTTATTCCTAACTGTCATGATACATGAACCGTCTTAGAAGTAAAGAGTTCTCCAAAAATAGTTGATACACTTGCCTTTAGTCCACGAGAGAATGGACAGTATAATACAATGAGTTGTTTCTAAATTCCTAACATGTGGAGAATCATGTTAAAGTGCTACTGCCTCTTTTGCCATTACATGCTAATTACATCCTTCGAATTGCATCCACAGCTATAAAGGTTCACACAACCGGTAACACAAGACTTTTCCTGATAGCATAGAGGTAGCCCTTCATCATGTTTGGAAAAGATAGTGAAGCGAAAGGAAATGATTGTTTTATTCTATGAGTTGCTAGGACAAAACAGAAATTCACTTGCTATAAGAAATAGGGGCAAAATGGGTCAAAGCTGGCGCTGTTTGACAAAACTGAAAATTAAGTACTGAGATTTTAAGAGCAGAATTTTAAGTGCCGAAGTTTTTAAGTGGTAATTAAAAATAATATTTTTATATCTTTTTTTAATTTTCAGCTTTCAGCATTCAGTGATAAAGTGATGTTTCTGTCACTAAAAAATTTTCCACATTTCAAGTGGTGCTTGCCATTTTCAATGATATTCAAATTGCGGTATTAAACGCACTTAATTGGATAAGCACTTAATCCATTCAGAATTAAGCGCTGAGTTGAGTTATCAAAAGAGGGTTAGGCTATCCCTCGTCATCCTTGCATACCCTCTCCCTTCTCTCGGCATTTGTAGAACATATACAAGATAAGTTATCCCTCCTTATCTTCTCATTTCTTTTCTCTCATTCCGTCAATCCAAACAAGGCCTTATGCAAAGCAATGGCAGGACAATATGACTCAATAGGGGAAGAGATCCCCTGCACTTTGAAGATCTATACCTGCATATATCCTTTTTGAGGATCTAAACCAGTGTAGATCCTTTAGGTACAACAATCCTCAGATTAAGGGTGGCGAGGGAATTAGGATAGTGGTTTATAGAGTGTAGAACATAATCGATAGACCATATCAAATTTTTTGAGAAGAAAAATTTGTTAGTACCCCATGATGAAGTACATTATCATTCAAATAATCATAAAGTATATAAAAGCACAAAATCATTCACCTTCACAATTTCTATATGTGATTAGTATCATAAATCGAAAGTACAAAAAATACCTTAACACCAGCATTGGTGCATAATTGAACTGCCTCTCTCACATCTGGCAGACATGGATCCTGTGTATAAAATATATACATTCATGTGAACACAACTCTTTTTGTCTTTTATTGGGTAACTTGAAAGTGAAGTGTTTATTCAAACAATAATATCAATGGAATAAAGAGTATAAAGTTCCAGTAACACACTGGATAGAAGAGAGCACTATCACTCACATGGCATAAACTAAAAGAACATTTGGAGCAAGACTTGTGTGGGCTTTATTAAAAATGTTGTCAAGTGCAGTTAAACAAGTGCGAATATCCATACAGTAACAAATTGAAACAAAATAAAGCTTACAAAGGATGTTGGACAAATTTATTACATTTACGCATCAACAAATATTGATTTGCAAGAAATGGAGTAATGAAATGAAGAAAGCAGTGAAAGCTGTTTCTTTTATTCATACGATTTCTCAAATTTATCGAAACAAACTGTACAATTTCTATGTCATCATGACACATTCCAAGTAGGAAACAGATCCAAACAAAAATGTGTCTAAACATCAAAAGTTGGAAACATGACCAAAACCACATGTATTCCAAGTAACGCATTAGACTTCTGAACCTTCAAAGCACAACAACCATCTTTGTCAGTGAAGGCTAGGAACAGGAAATAGTGGAGGTATTTCTTTCGTAGAAAAAGTAACGAACAAAACTTATTGTAACTATTGTATTACAGAGAGAGACCATATTGTCAACTCAAGCTTTATAGCATTCTTTCTTACATGAATTGCATGATTGTGACTCAAAATTATACCAGTATATTGAAAAAGAGATACATTTTGAAAAAAAAAAAAAAAAAAAAAAAAAAATTATATATATATCACTCGCACACATACACAGAGACATGCTTTCATGTAATACTGCCCACAATGTTATGGTTAATATATAACACAGAAAACGAATTAGGAATGGTTTACTTTTTTCAATTCTGAGCCTTGAGAATTATAAATGCATTAGCATAATTCATAATAAATCAAAGTATAAGTGATACCACTAGGCCACAATGTGGAAGGTGACGGTTCGAGACTCCAAAAAGACAATGGGTGTGTGAGTTTCTTCCCAATGAAAAAAAAGAAGTCCAAAAGAAAAGTTCCTAGGTACACAAATATGAAAATCACTTAATAATAAAATATATACATACATATGAAGATAATTCTTTAAAAGAAAAAGTAAAAAATCAAGATCGTCATCCAATTTTGAAATAATAACAAATTGCAATCCAATTAAAGATATTGCACTGTGCGATGAGAGGCGTGGTAGGGATGCGGTAGGAGTCCTCTACTCCGACTAGTCCCCGAAGTCATTAACTCCGGTGAAATTCTCAACTGCTTTTCTTCTATTTCCTTTTGTTTGAGTGATTTGTTGTTTCTGGAGTGTTTTTGTGAGTGTTCGTTTCATCTTTGTCATGCGCTCGTTCTTGGAAGTTGCAAGATTGCCTCGACTGTTTCAAGGTGGTGTTGCGAGATCTGCAAATCCGTATAGGGGACCATCGATTTATTTGGATGATGACTCGGTTGATAGGAGAAAAGAGGACCTTAGGTCGTGTTTGGTGGGCTTTTTTGATAAAGAAGTAGGCGATGGAGCACAGATTGCAGCGTGGGCTTCAAGAGCTTGGAAGATCTCCACTGGTGTGTCAGTCTCGCCATTGCCTGACTCGCTTCTTTTGTTTCGATTTCCCTCGGCAGTCGAAGCATCTCGAGTTCTTAAAGAAGGTCGACGTGACTGGGGGAAGGCAACTCTTCATGTGGATGCTTGGAATTTCAGGGTCGGGTGTTCGGAGATCTTGAAAGAGAAGGGGTTGAAGAAGGTGACGATTTTTGGCCTTCCACTTCACCTGTGGAGTCATGCTTTGTTTGTGACAGTAGGCAATTTATGCAGTGGGTTTATCTGGGTAGAGGCTGATGAGGCTATTTATGCTGAAAGAGTTCGTATTACAGTCGCTGATGGAAAGGTTTGTCCACCTTTTGTGTTCGTTCATGACGATTGGTACTGTTACAAGGTGGCAGTGTGGGAGGAGAAGCACCCCAAGCTTGTTCTGACGACAAATTGCTTGGAAGGAGGTGATGGTTCACAACTGCTTAAGGAAAAAGAATGGTTGAGGTGGGAATCTATGAGGAAAAATGGAATGGCAGAGTTCCAAAGATGGAAGAATTAGAGAGATGCGTTGTGGATTCGTAATAAGGAATGTTTCCGGAGGCTTTTTGTTCAGAAACGTAGGGATGGGCTCTCGTCTGGTTTGAATCGGTGTCAGCTAGTTGATTTTCGGAAGATGTAGTGGAATGGAGGATCCACCGGGATTAGTCGTCGGCCATTTTTACAGCGGTGGGAACAGAAAGGGTCTCGTCATGGTGGTGTTCACGCGCAACAAGCGCGTGGGAGTGGGAAGGGAAGAATTGCCACATGGTTGGCTCCCAGGAGTTGCCCGTTCACAGTGGAATTTCCACGAATTTTTCAAATTCCGCTAAGTGGGCTGGTAAGAATACAAAGACCATACGCGATGACGGGCCTGATGTTGGGCTGGGGATTGGGGCTTTAGTTGTTAGTGAGGGCTGTACTTCTTCTTGTGGGCCTGTTCAGAGGCATCCAATTATTGGCAAGGCCGTTTGTGATTTGAGGTTGGATGGTGGACCGGTTACTCAGTCATTTAAAGATGGGTTGGTTGGCAGGTCCGGTGCCCATTCGCTTGATGGGTCAGCTGGGTTGAATACTGGGCAGGTTAGTGGGTCTTCTTGCTATGGGCCTGAGTTGAAGAATTGTTTTGAGCCATTGACTTCCGCTTCGGTTGGTAGTGACTTGCAACTTTCTGGAAGAGTCAAGGAGGATCGGCGTGCTAGGGATCGGGTGCAGTGAATACGTCTTCCTAAGAAAAAGATCCGTCTTCCTGCTTTTCGCAAACGTTGGACACAAAAGGATAAGCAGAAATGGGTGACGTCTGTGCAGTCGGATTTGGATCCGGGTAAGTCCACTGTCGTTTCTAAGGCACCTCCTTCTTGTTTCTTCTCTCCCTCTGCTCCTTCTCCTTCTCAAGGGGGGTCGAGTTTTTCCTCTAATTTGAAGGATAGTTTGGAGAACGGGCGAAAGGATGGTGTTGGGGTTTGCCAGTTTGTGTGGGACGTGATATGAAGATTTGTTTGGATGATGCTTCAGCGACTATGGTGCTGAGTGAGTTGCGGACTCATTTAGCTTTAAAAGGCTTTCAGTGTGGGACGAGTGGGTTTTTGGCTGCTGAGGTTAATAGGACTCTACTGGATGGTCATTCTCCTCCCTCATCAATCTTTGAGGACTGGGATGGTGGGTCATGCTCTTTTTTTGAGGATTGGGGGTCAGGTCAGTGGAATGGCAATGAGACGAATTTTGATTTCTTTGCTCCTTTGGCGGTTGTTCATCCGGATGAGGTCTTTGTGGATGGGGCTGGTTCTGATTCAGGAAGGGTTGTTATGGAGGACAATTGGGTGAGGGAGAAAGGAATTGAAATTGGCTCTTTGTTGGGAGTTTCTTTTGAAGGACGAATGGAGGAGGCGACGAATATGTTTTTGGAGGTTCTGTCTTCTCAGAATTTGGATAGAATGGGTGGTAGGGAGAGTAGGGGGAGCATGCCGGGGGAGTTGGAGGTTGAGGAGAGGGGAGTGTTGAGCCCAACGGCTCTTGTCACTTATGAGAGAAGGAACAAAGGGTGTAAGGAAAAGGGTGGTGGAGGGAGGGATGTGTCTATCCAATCTGTTGTTTCTTTATGAAGCTACAAATCCTTTTTTGGAATGTACAGGGTCTCAATGATCCGGTTAGAAGAAAAGTGGTGAAGGCGGTGATTCGTAAAGAGGGTGGGCATGTTGTGTGTTTGCAAGAAACAAAGATTGAGACGATGACGGATTTGTTGGTGCGTAGTTTATGGGGAGGTAGATTTGTGGAGTGGTTTGCTCTAGATGTTAGTGGTTCTGCCGGTGGTGTTCTTGTGATGTGGGATAATCGGTGGGTCTCTATGATGGATTCTCAGGTTGGGCATTTCTCTGCTTCCTGCATTTTCTCTGTATTGGAGGATGATTTTCGTTGGATTTTTTCTGGTATTTATGGCCCTACTAAGAATTGTGTGCGTCATTTGCTTTGGGCGGAGCTGGGAGAGGTTCATAGGAGATGGTCTTTGCCTTGGTGTATTGGTGGGGATTTCAATATTGTTCGTTCTCCGTTTGAGAGATCGTCAGGTGGTAGGTGGACGGTCAAGATGGAGGCTTTCTCGGAGTTTATTGATGTTTTTGGTTTGATTGATCTGCCTTTGGTGGGTGGGCACTTCACTTGGTCGAGTGGTCGTTCTCCCCCTACCTTCTCTAGACTTGACAGATTCCTGGTGTCGAGTGATTGGGAAGAGCACTTTTCGGATGTTATCCAGACCACTTTAGCTCGTCCTTTGTCTGACCATGTTCCTTTGATGTTGGACTGTGGTGGGTTACGCAGTAGAAGATCCCCTTTCAGGTTTGAGAATATGTGGCTTCGGGCTGAAGGTTTTTTGGATCGTGTCCGATCTTGGTGGGTGGGGTATGTTGTTGCTGGCACCCCTAGTCATTCCTTTACAGGTAAGCTGCGGTTTTTAAAAAATGACCTCAAAGTCTGGAACAAAGAGATTTTCGGTAATCTTGCGTGAAGGAAGAATCGGGTTTTTTCTGATATTGCAGACATTAATAGATTGGAGGGTCAAGGATCTTTGTCAGATTCCTTGAAGCTTATGAGGGTGGAGTGTCAGGCTATGTTACCCGGACTCGGGTACGGGTGTCAGACTGGGGTACGTGTCTAGAGGTCAGATCCATCTATCTATTAAATTATAGGACACGGGGACACGGAATAAAAGTGTCCAAAACTCGAACACGGGTACTTGGACACGGCATAGAAAATAGTATATTGGAGTATTAAAGAGTCTAAAGACATATATATAAGCAGTTAGGCATACAACCATACATGAATGCATGATACATGACAGTATATTAGTAATTTAGTATGATATAAATTATATAATTATAACTTATAAG